TTCTTATATTATTATGACTAGACTTTGCCAATCGTGTTTGAAGTTGTATTTATAAATGTCTAAATATTATACCATTCAAATTACCATATTAACTATAGTAAAAATCTTTAAAGAATTTATTTGAAATAAAGTTGTTTTTGGCATGAATGATTTTCGGATAAATTAAATGCAACTTGTTTTTGTTATTTTATCTCTGAATTCGTATTTAAACTCGTGAGAAATGCGATGATCTTTACAAAGACATTTTAATTCAGCCGCGATTTCGTTAGTTAATTGACTCACCATGTAACAATATATTATGATACTTTTGGATGAATTGAAATTTAAGCATATTTTGTTAAAATAAAATTTTAAATTTAAGGCTATAAAATTGTGAGTATGTACGTGTGCATAATCATTTCTATGTTTACAAAATGGAACATTTGAAATTTAGCCACTATAAGTTTCAGGTTATTATATTATTTTAATATTATATTTTTTTGCTGTAAAAATACGTTTTATTATAATTTTCATAAAAATACTTGAAATGTTTAAAATACGTATTAGTATTAAAAATATTTTTCGTACATAAATACTGCTATGTTATAATGATTGCTTTTACTTTCAGTCTCATATATACTTAAATTATTTATATTTTAATTAAATTGAATTTATAGTGGTATTAAGCTTAAATAATTTTGTTACTTTATTTAAATTACATTTTTAATGGGAAAGAGTGATTCAAAAAAATGTATTTTATTGGAGACTACATCTAACTGAAGTCCGGTGTTGAAATAAAAACTTTCAAACTCGTAATGAAAAACATATTTTAGTTAGAAACATTTTATCGTTTTAATAATGTTTATTAATAATTTCTATTTTTAATATTAATAAATCATTTGAATATCTATGGAAATATTATATAATTATACAAAAATATATACAAGGATTCACCTTTCATACACAAAATATGTCTAACATACTCATATCATACACATGTTAGCATTATAAGTTTACCTAACCATTGGTCAAATCATATGGTAACCCTTACCCATTCACTTTTGATTAAGAAAATGTTTGTAAGAAAAATAAAAAAATGTAAGTATAATTATTTAATTAGCAACTGATAAACAAATAAATATATTAAAAGATTTTTATAAAACAGATATTAAAATAATAAATTTAATTTAATTACAACGAAAGTATATTTTTGACTTAAAAAACTGATGATAGGAACTTTCGTGAAGGAATAAGAATTACAAAATAAGTAGAAATTATAAATATATGTAGAACAGTTAATTTGATGATTTAAAGTTCTCACGTAAATAACAGTAGTAACATGTTTTCTTTGTTACTTAGAAAGAAAGCCATTTACCCATTATCAGCTAAAAGTGTAAATGTATTATTAATTTTTTTTTTTCACTTGCATTAAAAGTTGCAATAACTAATAACTTAAAATTAAAATCAAAAAGATTCTTTTCTTTTATTGTAATAATTGGACATTTAAATTTTACAATTCGAGTATACATAATTAATTAGTAGTTATTAAACTAAATTTAATATTCAACACAAAATGAAATAAATAACTTTTTTAACACTGTAGCAAAAAACTATAGCAAATATAAATGCTCACTTATCGTAAAATAAAAAAATGCTGAACACGAAACTCATATTTAAAAAATGAAATTCCTTGATGTTGCTTACATTGATGTTTTAAAATTAATGTTTTAGTGATTATAATAAATTAAACAGGTACTTGTAAATTTTAAAACTAAATATTTCATGGGATATTTTAATATATCATCCACAATATTACTTTAATAATGTTTTATAAGATATCATAACCAATTTCCCTAAAATATTGAACGTATTTTTATAATTACCAATGTTACCATGTAAAGTAGACATAGGATTTAATGAATTGATACTGTACACATTTTTCCTTTGGACAGAATTAGTATTTAGATATTGTAATTGCATCACACTTAAGTAATAAAAACATCCGAATTCATTTGCATACAATGACAACAAAGCTTCTTTATTATAAACAGTAAAAAACAGGTTGGTTAACATCAGTTCGCTGACAATCACGACTTTTAAACAAGTCACAAGAATGATATTTACATTTTATACATTATAGTCGAAAAGTAAATGAAAATAATATAAAAATAATCATGAAAATTTGATTTGTATAGTTTTCTATAAAAAAAAAAAAAAAAATCGTATAAACTAGTTAATAATTAAAACTTTTAACTGACGTGTGACCGACATATACCAACTAATCAGGATTATAACTAACATTAAATTAAAAGTTTTAATTTAAAGAAATTAAAACCTATAAGCCCTACAAAATAAACGCTTAAGTATGCATGTAAAATATTTTTGACTCATACAAGATAAATTAACTCATAAGCTTATTGAAATTTTACGACTATTAAATAACCCACTGAGTTAAGAAATTGTTTGAAAATATTTATCAAAAGCTAATGTTGATACGATGTAATCAAAAATAATTTATTTTCCAAAGAAGTAAAACAGAGACTGAATTCACAAATTAAAAAAATATTATGTTCGGATTTCAAAAACACAGTTAACAAACTTAAGTTAAAATATGTAAGTATAAAAATATTTAAAAAAAAAAATAAATAATTTATACAAATAGAAACAATAAAAAATTAAAAATGCTAGAATGTTTTATGCAATATTATAATATTACTTCCTTCCTTCAAAAAGAAAAAAAAATTATAAATATTTTAAATATATATTTAGTATTGAAAATGTATATATTTATTTAACGTATATTGTATTTTATAATCGTTTATTTTAGCGGTTTTTTAAACTTTTTTTCACTTACCACTTGAGTATATTATCAATCAGTCACGTACCACTTATGATTAAAAATAGAACCACACAAACTTTACATAGTTAAATATATTTATTTTGAAAAAATGACAGTAAAATATTACAAAATAATTATTATTTATTTATTTATATAAATGTATTATTGATTTTAAATTAATATATGAATCGATTTTTAATTTTTAATTTTCACCTACTGCCATGCAGCCATACGCGTACCACCATGTAGTCAAATCACATTTTGAGAACTACTGATCTACCTAATTATTATGTTTATAGAATCGATATATTCATCAACAGGAATAAGTTGAGCTGTATTTTAAATTACTGAAAGTTAATTTTAAATTCAAATTCAAATCAATCTGTATATAATTATAATAATAACGAAAAATAACTCTTTTAATTACATAATACATATATTTGATTTTATATATTAAAATAGACAAAATAAATACATATTATAAACAATTATAATGTAATTTATGGAAAGTACCAACAAGATGAAGTGCAATTTTAAAAGTGATTGGATACTTCAAGTAATTTTCTTACTTAAGCTGTTCTGATTCTACTGCAAACTACACAACTCTATTCAGTATCATACATATTTGTGATGTACCCAAAATAACGGAAACAATTGTTTGCAATAAATTATTTAATATGTTTAATGTAAAATCCATTAATTCATTGATTACACTATAAATCATCACGAATACGTGAATTAACAAGTCAACAAGTCTGTAAACTTTTTATCAAAATATCTGATTTCATTTCAAGTCTTATATATTTTGTTTAGACATATAGAACCGCGTGATCAAATTAATTATTCAGTAAAACAATTGAGTAAATTATTTTAATCTATATTTATTAATAACTAAAATATGATGAATAGTTTATTCCTTATTTGAAACTGCTAAATAACATTTAAGAATATTTTCAATAAGAAAACATACAAATGTCACCGCAGCATAAGTCGTCTTGTATTTATATAACTATTAATACATACCTATTACATAATATATATATATATATATTATGTATATTAGTATCAATTTCAGTAAATATATGAAATTTATTTTCTAGTTCTAATTTATAGTAATAATATGATTGTACAAATTAAACCTTCACCATCGTCATCTACATGAATAAATTTCTTTCTTCTTAAATAATTTTTTTTAAAGTTAATTGTTTAAAACTTTTTCATTAATTTTTAATTTAACCAATTTAAGTTTAAACGACATAACTACAAAATGTACATGACATACGATTTACGGCAATAATGGTGATGGTTTAATTTGTACAATTGTGTTTGTAAAACGGTTATTCTTATTATATAATTTTAGATATATTTATCGTAACTGCGTAACTCGTAATATAAGTTATCTATGCTCATGTATTTTTACACATAAATTATTGATAATTACAGATAAATATTACATTGAATATATAAACATTTTCTATTTTCAGGGAAATAATTTTAACTATTGAGGTTTTCGAATTGTCAAGTTTTGAAGTATCGAGAACTCGGCTGTATTTATTTCGATGTATATTTAAATCTATTGTGCTGAGGCCACTAATGTAAGCTCCCTAGTAGGGTTCAAATCATTCCCTAAACAACGACATCAAATTAAATACTACCACAAAATTAATTAGACCAATGTACAAACATTTTCACCGAAATGTAAACATGCACTACTATTCATACCTATATCCAATATGTTCACGATAACCCTCCCGAAAAACCCGACTAAAACACGAATGGTGTAAAGATTTTTTTAAATTATTTAATGTTACAAATGTGTAATATTTATAACATTATTTTTAGCAATGGGGTTTTTCCTTAACACGATATTTTTTTTAATTTTAATTTTATGTATTTTTAATTTCCTAATTTTAATAGTTTGATAAATGTATAAATTATCTATAAAAAAATAAAAATATGTGATACAAAAAAAAGCAATAAAAATCGATAGATGCCTAAAATAATAATATGCATTCCAGCAGTTTTCACATTATTATTATTATTATTATTATTAATATTGTTTACACAATATCCTTGAAAAAATAAGTGAATTGAGATTTATACAAATTATTTTATTGATGTAATGATACTTTTTAGGCGTTGTTAATAAAAAAATGTTATTTGATTATAATCATGTCTACAGAATATCGGTAATATTCAAAGTTAGATCAGCCAAGGTCGTGAAAATCACCGATAAAGACCTGTTGAAGAGACTCGGACTAATGATGGCAGTAGTTGGTTTGATAATGTTGATAAGGACTCTGGTCGATCCACCGTACGTTATAGTGGGTAGGACTGCAGACAATTTAAAAACAGATCTCTGTCCTACTGGATGGTGGGATCGATTCTTTTCGATACGTGAGTATATTTTGTAAATAAAATTCGGTAAATAACATTGATGACATTATTAATATTATGTGCTTATATTGTATAAGTGTAAAATTTTAATTTTTTTAAAAATGTTTATTGCATTCTTCTACTAAAACTAAATAACTAATATTGTTCAATAGTATTCGTTGAATTATCAATTATGTCAACATTTTATTGTATGTATAATTTTTGGAGTACCAGCAGTTTTTTTTTTCTTTACTACAAAGAAATTCTAATTAAAATTGATACATTGAATTTTCAAGCTTAGGGTACAAATTGAAAATTATATACATTTTTATTACAACAATATAGCAAATTTTCGTAGTTTTTATTATTTTGGCAAATATTTGATATTTGAACAATCTTAATTTTTTTTTTTCTTTCTGACAATGAGTTTAAATTTATTTCTTTGATTAATTATAAATGTATAAGAATAATTTTTTATTACATTTTCAAGACTTTTTTTATCAAATAAAAAAAATTAAGTTAAAAATGATGACATTTTTTTTATAAATAGGTCAATAAAAAAAAAAAATTAAATAAAATTGTATTAAACTATTAATATCAAACAGTGATATAAACATTCAACATTTTATTTTTTTATATATATTATTTTTACTATTTTTTGAGCTACTATGAAATAGAGAATTCAATTTTATCGAAAACCAAGTTGTACCTTAAATGTTGCCGTTTTTTATAACTTTTCGTCTTTTTTCGCAATTATTAAAAAACTATTGGGACATTCGGAAAAAATCTCTTTATAGCACCAAATTTATAACATTTTTATCATAAATATGATTTCTATGATTAGAGTAATCTTCCCGGTAGAAATTATGTTTAAAGATACAAGAAAAACAAGTGTGACAAAATAGGCTGCAACACGATCGTGCAATTTTTCTTATTTTGACAAATTATACCTCGATTGCGCAAAAAATTTGCTACATGATTCCGCCCCGATCCCTTTTAACTTGAAAAAATCACAACAACATTGCGCACCAAAATATGTTATTATTATACTATGTATAATAATTTATATACAACATAAAATAATGTATACAATACATACTTTCTACATATAGTTTATCATATACATGCACTCAATATTATTATCTATTAATTCACAATTTTTCTTCCCAATTATTACAAGTTTAAGACTGTCAACAAATTATCATTGTTGACTTGGTTAAAAATTGTTTTTTTCTAAATTACATGTATGCTAAATGTATTTACTTACATGATCAATAGTCGACATTTTTTTTCTCTTAACTGATAGTTATTAGTCGATATTATTATTATAACTACCACTAGCTCAATCAAATTTTCATTTCAACTTGAAAAAGTGCATTTTGTGAATTGATAGTTTGACTGCATGTATGTGCAAATAATTGAAAGTAGATATTATATACATTATTTTATGTTGCACATAAATTATTATACATAGTATATACCTACACATAATTTGGTGCGAAATTGTGTTGTGATTTTAATAGGTAAAAAGGGATCGGGGCGCAATCGTAGTATAATTAGTCAGGTAAAAAAAGGAAAAATTGTGCTATCTTGTTGCAACGGTCAAAATAATACATGTATATTAGTGGTGAGGGTTCAAATCCCGGTTAACATTTTGCATTTTTCTTTGTTTTTATCATTTATTCGGTTAAAAAACTGTCAAAGAATTGAAAAATCAACCACCCAAAAGCATCGACAGCAGCTGATTTCTTAATTTTTACTTTCTATTTGATAGTAATCGGAAAACTTTTTCTAGTCGCAATCGTGAAAAAATACACATTGAATAACAAAATCAAAACATTCCTTATTTCATTTAAATATTGAAAATAGTTGTTCTCGAATAATTATAATTAATTTTGTACCAAATACTTAATGGAATGCATGGCATGATCCGGTGAGTAACATTCAGAACAGATAAGTTTTTTATAAAACTAAAATTTAAATTTAATAAAACCTAAGTAAACAAATTTTATCACAATTAGACTGTCTTAAACCTCCGACTATATTCTTCGTCGATTTTATTTTATATTTTTACTATCCATAATAAGACCCATAAATTTGTCGGTAAATTTAAAGATGAAAAAAAATATCAATGATGATTATCATACATGAAATTAGATATAAATTTATATTTTCTACTTCCGATGATCTCACTTTATTTTAAAATCAAAAAATAAACGACGTGTTGCGTAATACTTAACCAATTGTAAAACGTTTTATGGAAATATAAAAATGAATACTTATTTCTTACAATCTTAACATGTTTAAAATTACCATTAACAATAACCGTCTTTATTTCATTTGTCAAATTAAATTAAATCCTTATTTTACGTTTTGATATATAAAAAAAATGTATATACAGAATACAGAAGTACTTGCTTAAGATGCTCCCGTTTGAGATGTTTTCCCACTTAAGGCGTTTTTTTCGTTAGTCTCTAGACATTTCTTATACTAGGCAATGTTAAAAATTTTGTTAAGACACTTGGTTTTTTTCTATCTAATCGGATATTATGCTTTTTTGTTCAGCATATTACGATAAAGTTTAGTAATATTGTGAAAATAAAAATAGAAATAATACTCGTTTACGTGTACTTCTACGTTTTATTATTGTACTGTATTTTCACGATTAGATGCGTATTATATCGTATTATGAGGTTCAAGACGATCAAGGAGAAGAATATCCAGACAATCCAGTATCGGCTTTTATTATTACTGCTGGTTTGTAACACCTAACGAAAACTTGAAACATATTATCCATTATAGAAAATGCCGAAAAATGTTGGTTTATATCAACAAAGTCAAAACATTTTTACTGAAATGCATTGCTTGAATCTTAAACAAACAAAAATAGATATTTTTTTTTAATGTGATATAAAATAATATATTAAATTGAAAACAATAATAATTATAAAAATACTTACTGTATAAATGTAAATATTTTTTTTTTTAATTATATTCAATAGCAAAACATCTAAATTATTATAATTTATAAATGTCTTATCTGTTATTTATGTTCGATAATAAAAAAAACTAACTAGATATTTCAGTTATTTTTTTTTCAATTCTTGCATAAAACGTTTTCCCACTTAAGACGTTCTAGTGTGCTGATCCCTTGAAGAACATTTCAAACAACTTTTACTGAATGTTTATATCTTTATTACATTTTAGTTTCAAATTAATAATTAAAGTTAAATGTATTAAATATAACTAATTTTTCGCTATTTAAATTATAATATTAAAGATAAAAATTTATAGATTATTCAAACATTTTATCAAACACTAAATTCAATTCTAGAAAATAAATCATCATTTAGACTTGGTATTATAATTCAATCCTTAATTAAACTAACCAACAGTGTAGTAAAATGCAAGCTCTGTACTATTATAGTACAATAGTCCTTGATATTACATATATACACTTAAACTATAATTTAAAATAGTTTAAAGGTATGAAATAGTTCAATCAGATATTAAATTATATGACATTTTAACACTATCGAGATCATGGATACATTCACAATATTTCATGAATTCCTATTTACGTCATAAATCAAACTTAGGAATGTACGAAAACAAAAAGGGTAACTACTTAGTATTAAAATATTTAAAAAATCTTATCTTACATTTATTATTAAACTATAATGATTATAATAACTATAATCAATTATTGATTCGTTGTTTGGTTAATTATGTGTATATACGTGTATATTAATTTGTGTAAATGTATATTTCTATCTGTATAAAATACAACTTGTAATGTGTTTACAAACAATATTATCCCTATACGACCATCAATTTATTATTGGAAAATGAAAATTACTACAACAGAAATAGAATAATTTGTGTTGTGATTCTTAATTAGAATATTTAATATTAAAAATAAATAAACAATAAATTAATAACTATTTTTATCATAGTTTATAAGATAAATGAATATGAATGGGTTAAATAATATTATAAAAATATATCTTTAATTTAATTTAAAATTTGTGTTTGTTTATCCTGTTTTCAGTGGAAGTATTATTTCTTGTTTGGGGTATTCGTCTATGCATTGTTGTGCGGAAAGCTCCGTCAGAATTCAACGAGAGTCGATTCATGTCAATGGCTATTTACAATGAATTTATTCTCTCAGTCTTCCTTAATGTATCAATGTAAGTCAACTATAATCAGACAAACAATTATTTTATTTAATTGCGAAACATATCAAATGGATAAATAACAACAATATGCTTATAATTTCAATTGTACTTAAGAAAATGTAATGTAAAATGTATCACTCGCTTTGAAAAAAAAATTATTGCAACGATTTAATAAGTATTACAAATAACCGAAGAAAATAATATAATATAATATAAAAAATATTTAACTATAAATTACAAAGTTATTATTATTATAATAACTATCAATATTTTGTTGCATAACCATCCTAGATACTATTGTTATTAATACTACTTTGGAAACTAAGTAATATTCTTTTTAAAAGTAAGTCATTGTATAGGTTAAAAAAAGAAGTTCGTTAAAAAAGTTTGGTACAAACAATTTCCAACATTTTCATTTTCCGAGCTTAACTATAGTTTCAACAAAAAGCTCATAAAATTAATCTAAAATAAATAAAAACTAATCATCACGAAAAAACCGTTGAATTCAAAAATAAAGTTTACATTTGTGTTCATTATTATTAATATTTAGAAATCAGGTAAACAAACTAGAACTTTTTTATCCATTTACTGTGAATGTATTTTAAGAATTTTACTTATCAAAAACTGGTAAATATAATAATCATACTTTTGGTGAAATCAACAGCTCATAAAAAACAATCGATAATGATATTAAATGTTCAGATAGAAAAATAAAATTTTACTTACAAAATGTTTACAATAAATATTATTAAAAATTTTCCAAGCAGTAATCCTGCTGAAATTTTAAAAAATAATAGTAAAATATTATATGCTTTTATAATAAAGTATCATTGAAATAATTTACAAACATTATGGTTACACAAAAATGCATGTACACAATATTATGGTATAACAGCAAGTTTCTCTAGCGCTTTTTCGTAATATTTATGTAACATATTTTCCCTCGTTGCTAATTATAGATGTTTACTTAGCACATGTCGGAAACGAAAATTATGTCTTTTTTATATGTTTAAAAAATCATTACATGATAACTACATGTTTTTCGTGAAGGCTTGTGCTTCTCCATTTCATAAAAATAAAAGCCATTCCAAATTATAATTAGTATAAATATATTAATGTACTATACGATATAAAGCCGATCAGCTTAAACTCACTCGTTACTGGAAATTAGATATTAGTAGTCACCTGCGCGTGAATTTGAATAATTTGAATGGCAGCTATCTACAGATTTTATAAAGAAATTAGACATTTATTTACACATAATGAATATTTTAAACCATCTCGTAATGGAAAAAAAAAGAAGAATTAAAATGCGAATATGATGCGAATGAATCAGGCATTAGGTTACAAATTTAGTAACAAGTTTTGATAGAGTCATAATGTGAAATCATCTTGGAACAATTCATGAGTAGACGATATTATTTTATTTTACTTATATTATTTATTTTTGTATTTATATACGGACAAGGTCCAAATATATTTACATGCAAATATAATGATAAGATATATGCTGAAAATATGAATAAAATATGAATTTATTGTAAGGAAGAATAAAATTGCAAAACATCAAAAAGTATATAAACCAGTGAATATTGTATACAGTAATATTAAAATACAAGAAAATTAAAAAAATATTAAAATCAACTATTATTTCACCTATAAATACAATAAAAAAAACGAATGATAATATTATAATTATTATTCGATTCACAAACAATAATTGTTTTCAATTATTGAATTCGTGATAAGTTCAATCATTATTACAATTATGAAGCAGCTCTTTTTAGAGAAAAATAGTTGAATTTTAATCAATTTAATTTAGTATTTTTTAAACCAACGGAAATCAATCAATAATATTAAAATTCAATTAATTTAATGGTAAAATTTTTGTTTTTTATAAATCTAATTATATTATTTTAAAATATATATTTTCAATAATTAATGAGAATAATTTTTAAAAAAAGAATGAAAGAAAACTAATTAGTTTTAATAATTAACTTTATATTCGATTATAAGTGATTTGAGAAGTGTATTGATTAAATCATGATTCATGTTTTTTTTTTTTTGTTGTCTGTATTTATGATTTTCACCAATATGATTACGTTTCAAATCACGTTCTCATCACAATGACTTTAAAATTTCACCATTTTCTGTTATAAAATTATTACATAAAAAGTGTCAACCATTTTAACAATCATACTAATGTTTTACGGAAGTATCCATCCTAGCTATCCCATACTAGGTAATCCTTTTCCTTACCCCGTCAACTAAAAAAATGTCAGGATTTATTGAATATAAAATAATTCTATTTTTATACTAAATCATATTTTTTTTTCTTGTGACCTGGGTTTCTATAATAACAGACCACCCTGCTCGTGTTCATTCATGTTTTTTTTATTCATTTAGTTATTATTTTTTACGAGATTGGTAAAAATGTTTAAAAATTTAAAATTATTACTTCGCTATATATTATTTATTTCACTTACTGTATAGTAAATTGCAGGTTGTAGGTATTATTGTTTTAAAATTACAATAATAAAATAAAACTTTGTAACGCAAATACGTTTTTACCGTAAATACGAAGGAAACGTTACGATATTTAGTATTAGTAATGACGCAAATAAATTTACACGTAGCCGCACAATAATTTACATCTGACAAAGTATAATATAAATCTGTGAATATTTTATATTACATTACTACTATTTGTATAAACGTAACATTTAGACAACACAAATAATCCGAACAAACGATAATGTTAAATAGTATTTTATTCCACGCGTTTGATGAATAAAGGATGTACGAAAGCAATAGATTCATATTTTACGAGCTAATTGATTTTCGTGTATCGAGTTATATCGATAGTAGGTTTGTGTATATATGTGTGTGTGTGTATGTGTGTGTGTGTGCAGTACAAGCTTAATATATTAACATACATATATATTATATAATTAACTGCTTTACTGTAATGTGTCTGATGAAAGCAACATAAAAATTAAAAAAAATATAATAGTTCAAGTCCCTTTAAACGCTCGAAAACGACCGGAAGAGAACATAATTTGTGTATAATTTCATCTTCAATGAAAATGTCAATGATTTCAAATGATATTAAGCGAGTACAAATTTATTTCAATATGTTCAAAAACAATTTTTTGTTTATGAGCATTATAATGTATAAAATAGCAGTCAGCAATGGTGTTCCACATCTCAATAATTAGGGAAATTGTTTTTTCTAAAACAAATAAAATATTCGTATGACATTAAAAATAATTGAACATGTATGTAAACATTTAAACTGTATAATAATAATTGTGCATTGAATAAAAATACAATATATTCTAAATTACTATGTATTTTATTCACAATAGTGTTATTTATTATTTATTTATCTTGAAAAAGAAATTTAAATTTTTTTTTAACTATGTATTAGTTATTATAAAAGTTATTTAGAATATCGAAAACAATATTAATTTTAAAAATATTAGAGTTTTTTTTTTATTTTGTGTACGTTGTGTTCGTTTATTATATTAATATATAGATTGTAAGTATATCAAATAAATAAGGTGCGTTACCCCAGCACCCGCACTTTCGAAAACATGAATTGTAATCATGCAGTTTTATGTACTTTATTTTGTACAATTTTGTACAACCAAAATTAAATTTTGTACAACCCTCGAACCTCCCCGAAATTCAATTTCATTTTACGGGTGCTGGGGTAACGTTACACCAGCACCCGGATCAACTATTTTTCACAAATTTCAACTTTAAACCGTACAGTATAATGTACTTCATTTTGTACAATTTTGTACAACCAAAATTAAATTTTGTACAACCCTCGAACCTCCCCGAAATTCAATTTCATTTTACGGGTGCTGGGGTAACGTTACACCAACACCCGGATCAACTAATTTTCACAAATTTCAACTTTAAACTGTACAGTATTATGTACTTTATTTTGTACAATTCCCAAACCAGAGGCGGCTCGTAGAGTTCATAGAAGTTCGAGTACAAAATTCTAATATTTTTTCTTTATCTATTATCATAGTTTACCTCCTTCAACTTCTGTTGGTAATTCATTTAATTAAATTCTTTATTATGTACTAAATTATTTTCCATTTTTATAGGTTAATTCTATATTCTGGAACATCTATGTTAATACTTTTTATTAAACTTTTAGATTCTTAACGGAGTGATTAACGTGTTTATCTTACAATGATGTGTGCTTTTTTTTTTATTATTTTTTTTTTTTTATTGTGTCTGTCATCACGTTTTTGAGTGGTAATAGTGCTTTGATTTTTGACTTCAGCCCCTCTTTAAAAATTTAATTTAATCTAGTTTATACTTTAGGTAGTTAATAGTAAAATTTTTATTAGTTTTTATGAGACTCTGTAATAACCCTGAAAAAGTAACGGAAAAACAGGAATTTATGTACAACCACTTTTCGATTAAATCGATTTTTTGATTTTGTTGTAACTCAAAAGACTTGAAATTTTAACCAAATGTTTATATTAGCGTTATATATTTATGATTAAATTTTCAAAATATTTATAGACCATTGAAAATTTCGATTTTTCTATTTTTTTTTTCTTGAAATACCGATAAAAAAATTTGGCTCCTAAAAAAAAATCTTTAAAATGTAATATAAGATGTTTATTATATACTACCCCACTGCAACTCAACGGATTGTATTTAATAATCAATTATTTCTATTTTTAGTATTTGCCGTTTATAATATGTTATCGGGAATTTTATTGACAATTATTTCTGAAAACTGTTTCTTTTCATTTTAAAATTAATACCATACAGTATAACAAATAACAATCCAGCTAATAATACAATCATTGTTTATAATTTATAAGTAATGATTGTTTTCGTTATATTTAGTTTTGGTAATCCAGTTGCAATTGTGTGTGGACTATCGAGTTAGTGCATTAAATATTTACGTAAATAAATATCAAATATAATAAATATTGTGTCCTGAAAAAATATCGACAAAGTGTGTGATTATTATGATATTACCATGTAGGTGGACAGTACTGCTATTGCAGTGGTCAAATCACTACTGCTATAGCATTAATATTTAATTGCTTTTCTGAAGGTTCTTAAGAAAAAAACCAAAATTTAGAATGTCCATCAATGTGTTAACAATAATATTGTTGATTAAATTTGCATAAAATAAATTTTAAATCTAAAATAAACATATTATATTTTTTGGAAATTACAAATTATACCTAATAAAAGGCAAAATTATCATAAATACAACTCTATTTAATTTTATATTTTTATTTTTATAAGTCTTATATTGACTATTTTTAGACTATTTTCTAAAAGAAGAAATATTTTGTTTGTTTATATACAGTCAATTTAATTAAATTAATTGTAGAAGGTAGTAGGTACCTATTATAGGTAATTGATAAATTTAAAATATAGATCCTACACATTTAAAATAATTAAATAGGTACTTGAATGTATTAAAGCTGTAGGTATGTTGAATCATATATTGCAATGTTTATATTATTTAGATACCTATACTAATACAATAATACTATAGCCATCCAATGTAATTTGATCTTTCAAATTTAAAATTTCATCATTAATATTTGGTTTTTATTATCATTTGCCATCACTTATTAGAGTAATACACAAAAGTTTTAATTATATTTTAAAATAAAACAAAATAAATTCAAGGAAATTATACCTAATACACGACATAAATTTAATTTATTTAAATGATCACAATTTTGAAAAAAAGAAGTACATTAAGACATTAGGCGATAGGTACATTCAAGTTCATATTAAAACCAAATACATATTATTATAGACAAAATTATAGTAAATTACTAAAATAAAATTAATCTATGAGTCAAAATATTCGATACATTTTGTTGTAGTAATGCTTAGAAGCGCGATATCATGAATAGACGAATTAGTCGACAATTTTGAAAGTAGCAATGTAGCATAATGCCCACGTACGACGTACCAACTACTTAGTATCATTGTTCATTGGTTACAAATAGTAATTATTATTGTACAACCTAAAATCAGATTGTATTAGACTATTTTTAGAAATGCAATATTATATTTTTCTTCTTAACATTAAGATAACAATATTAAATTACAACTCCTACTGTGATGATGACAAGAAATTAGTCAGACAATATTAAAATAATAAAAACTTTTACAGTATACCTACGGCATAAAAAATATAAAACGATGTTTATTGACATGTATACTGATCTCCTAAGGCAATAAGCAACAATGGAGTAGTTTTGAGAAAAATGAGTAAAATGTAACATTAGGTATAGCTAGTTGTATAATAATTATATTGACGATAAAAATAACTCATTATAAATTATATAAATATAACTGATATTGGTTAATAGTTTGTTCGTCGATGTCAGTAGGTGGGAATTTATAATAATGGTCGGTATTTATAATTTTAGTTAGCTTATTACTCTTCGTAAACATATTTAAATTATTTTATATTAATATACATATTTTTTAAGTATTTTATGGACACATCAAGCAGCTTGAAACGCGTGAGTACGCTTTGTATTTCACTATACCGTTTTTTAATATTAATCACTAAAAGTGTTATAAATGACGATTCTGTAATTTAAATTAAAATAAAATGTTTATTCAAAAAAATATTTAACATGCGGTTTTTGAACCTTATTTATTTTTTACACGTGTTAAAAAAGTTACCTACAGCATAGTCCTAGTATCTAATACCTAATCGGCGTTGACATTCTTATGTCAACAGTATTTAGTAGAAACAAAACATATACATGTACCGATGTATCTGCATTTAATGTAGATACTCTTCGATTTTTTTTTTGTTATTCTTATCAGAAAATAAATCATTCATTAAAAAATGTAAAAATGTAATATGATATTAATATATAAATATATAAATGATTAATTTAACTATTATTAAAATAATGCACCTACTTAATATAATTGACATAATTTTAAATCTTAATATCTGCGAACTTACCTAATATATTCTGTTGATTCTTTTTGAATTATATAAGTTAATTAACAGCAACTATTTCTACCTAAAAGGAAGTGCTGTATATTCGATAAAAGTATCTTAGATACAATATTGATAGAAGATACGCGATAACACCCGTAAGATGAAATTGAATTTCGGGGAGGTTTGGGGATTGTACAAAATTGTACAAAATAAAGTACATAATACTGTACGGTTTAAAGTTGAAATTTGTGAAAAATAGTTGATCCGGGTGCTGGTGTAACGTTACCCCAGCACCCGTAAAATGAAATTGAATTTTGGGGAGGTTCGGGGGTTGTACAAAATTCAATTTTGGTTGTACAAAATTGTATAAAATAAAGTACATAATACTGCTTGATTACAATTCATGATTTCGAAAGTGCGAGTGCTGGGGTAACGCACCTAAATAAATATAATATATTATGGTATATAATATAGTATAGCGATATTCATATATGCTGTTTAACCATTTTTATAATTTTAAATTTTTATGTGATTTGCATTGAATTGCATCAATTGTACGCTTGGCATTTATTTCATCATCTTAAATAATTTATTTTATAATGTTATAATTATTATAACAGTACAAATATATTAGTGTTCAACAACTGACGACTCTTCAAATGGTCAATAAATCAGCAATTATACAGGTTCAACGGAATTTTATATTTTATATTTGTGTATATAATATTATAGTATTATTCCTAGTGTACGTGTTCTTGATTTCCTACAGATAATTATCACTGTTTTTCTTCGCCACAGGTTTTTTTTGCAGTCACCGGCCAATCCTGACTTACAGTATATAATTTTCTTCTGTCATACACAACTCACAGTCACTACACTGCTGGGATTTATATTCGCTAGTAAGGTTAGTCATCAGCATCGGAAACGGATTACAATAAATCATATCGTTTACATTAATCAATAAAACCTTATAGTAAATTAAACAATTGAATGATCGCAGGAAAAACAATAGCGTGTTTTACTGCAGTGTAGAAATAAAATAGACACCTTATTTATTTTCAAGAATACTTTTACATATTATATAGATTGATAAAGGATTTTTTTCCGGTGCTTATTCACTAAATAATCATGTATTAAGCCAAACAAGGCCAAAGCTCCTCAGACGTTAAACTATAATTCATTAAAGGACCATTCAACTAAAAAAAATCATTAAGTATTTTATTACTATAATAAATAGAATAGATTTTAACTAGAATGATGATATCAATTTGTAACTATTTGTTCGTTAGTCACGGTGATTTTTGACAAAACGCGTCACGTCACAGATTTGTTCGCCGTCGCCGCAGTTATATGTAGTACACGGCAATATTTATCCGTTTCACTGCATTCAACGTGTGTAATATTATTCTGACATCGTGTATGGTGTACCTATAGATTGATGAACTGGCTATTTCAGATTTAACTCATAGCGTCTAAGCGGTAGTAATTTTTTTTCAGATTTATTATTTGTTTTTAGAATGATTTGATGACGCGTAATGTTTAATATTTTTTCGTCTAAAACAATTTTTTTAAACAAATAACTTTGTTTTACTCTTATTTCCCGATCATAAAGATATAACTTATTCAAATTCGACACAACAAACATACTCAACGAGGTTATTAAAAACGCAACATTTTTCGCATCTACACCAATTATTTATATTAATTACTTTAGATCGTCCATCAACATATATTTCCAAAAATGAATTATTTAAATATTGTGGTTCGACATCTATTCTCAGATCATCTACTATTGGTTCATAATTATATGTATAAAGGATCATTAAAAAATATATAATATATATTATATTAGGTCATGTAGCAAAATCGGGCCCAACAATCATTAACAAAAAGGACCACATTTACTATCATCATCTGGTGAACTATAGTTAACCCTTCCAGACCAAACCTAGAAAAACTGAAAAAAATAAAAAAATTTTTTTCGTAATTCCTTTATGTTTTTCTATGTTAAATATGGAAACATTTTGAAAAAACATAAAAATGATTTTGTTGAGCTCTATATTTTACAGTACGTGACATTCATAAGATTTGAATTTGTAAATAGTTAATTATAATAAAATATTATAAATTGTATTGTATTATATATCGAATAAATTAAATCGATTTTTTTTCATACCTAGTTATAATTCGTATTTTATGTGGTTAGAAAACAAATAAATTACCTTACTAAAATAAACAATTCTTAGTGGCTGGTTTAGGGTCTCGAAAATATTAATTTAATATAACAAAAAACATATGCATTTAAATCACGATTTTCAGGCATACTTGGTGATTAGAGGGGAAGAATCGAACGATGAAGATGGACAGGTAAAAAGCATCAAAGTGACCGGCGGTAGTAGAATGTTGAGTAAACAGACGAGAAATTCAAATAAAGTTAACTCCACATTTGGTGGCTTAGAAGAGTCCAGTACCGATTTCGTACTGACGGAAGCGGACGTGCAAGTGAGTTTCGATGAATAGCAGTGATAGCAAAAATAATATATAGACAACGCTTTAAAACATAACGTATTAATTATTAACAATTAACAATATTATAAACATTAACTAGGAAAAAATGATAATGTTATTCTTTGAGAACTATGTGAATTGTCTAAATGCAAATTTCAATCGTCAATAACTAATCGTAAAATCCAATATTTTATTTTCCTTTTTATAAAGTTATTGTAAAAATCATAATGTTAAAAAAATAAATCATCCATGGGAAGTAGTGCTCTTTATAGTCCTGTATTTTAAGAACCATACCGGACTAAAAATTTTACCAGGGGATCGAAGTCGAACTGGATTACACGTAAACGTTAATCAAAGATTAAAATTGAACCGAACCGACGGTTTCATATTATTTTTAGACCGGACCGGACCAGTAATTAAATAACATTCAATAAAGTAGACCGTAGACCGAACTGTCGGTCCAATCTTATAACATTTTGGACTGTTTATGAACCGGTCCATAAGGTTCAGTCTGTATTAGCCCAGACCGTACCATATGACGCGTTTAGTATTACACTGGACCGGACTACCCGACTTTATAAATAAATATGTACTTTAAGTTGTAGATTTTTTTTCGTTTTATTTGTTTACAAAACAATATCTGTATTTAGATTTTAAGTACCATTATTAGAACTGGGCTGTGACTAGACTAGACTGAAAATAATGTATTTGATCAGAGGACTGGATCGAACTACTCCTAAAAATTATTGAACCAGACAAAACTGACGATTCAATAGTTTTTGTATGTTAGGACCAAGGCTCATAACTTCTAGCATTTGCATATTTTTTTTTTGAGAGGTCCTAGAGTTACCTATGTGAACTATAAATTTGTTTCAGATTTTATGTTGCATATTTTTGCATATTTCGGAGTATACATGCTATTTTGCTTTTTTTCGCTTTTTTTTTTGCTTATTTTTGGATTTTTGCATCATTTTTATCATTAGTTTTTTTAAAAAATTTTTTAGTAGCCTAAACATTTTTTCTCAAAAATAACAAGTAATTATAGTTATATTAATTGTTCATATTAGTAATTAATTCGTGTTAATTAATTTTTCTTCTTATATAACTTATATAATAATATCAGATAAACTATATATACCTATACGAGTTTAGGCGACTCGCGACGTAGCGAGAGTGTAAAATTTCGTAATCCCATCGATAAGGAAACCATTATAATTGTATATAATTGTAGCTTGTACTGTAGTATTTTATTTTTATAGTTTCTAGGTATTCGGGTATTCCGATATCATTATTCCCAGATTATATACAGATTATTTTTCATTAACATTTTGCAGTCGTTTCCGATTTTTCGTACTGTATACATGCTAGTTCGTTCTGTGAATTCAGTATCTAATTTTTTTTTTTTTTTTTTAATAATAGAAGCTAAAATAATAAAATAATATAATAAATAATAATAATAAAATAATAATTTTTGTATATAAACATTTTTTTTTTTTTTGCATATTTTAGTATTATTAGTGCATATTTAAGCGCTTATATGAATACTTTTTAGAGCATATTTAAGCGCTTATAACAACCTTTTTTTAGAGCTATAAGTTATGAGCCCTGGTTAGGAACGTACTAGACCGGACTAATAAGACCGGATCATGCAGAACACTAGTGGGAGTGACGATAGTGTCTATATGTATACTATTTATACTTGTATTAAAAACCGAATTCTACATTATTTCCTTATTTCCAAATTAGTTTATTAACTCATTATTTTATTATACTTGTTAACAATTTTAGTTATTGAAAAATTATATTTTAATAAAAATATCATAAGGAGTGACAATAATAGACACAATTGTCGAACCAAAATAAACGGATTGTGGTACAAAAATGTTTTTATTACCCATATTATTTGATGATCTGCAATTAAAAACTACATGGTATAATAACTAATCAAATGTTGCAATCAGATCACATGATCTTGTTGATGCAATCTGTCATATTTTTTTTAAACATATTTACATTCATGAGTATTTGCGATAACATATTGTCATTTATTGCTGCATAAAACTTTTGAAAAAATACTATACTCATATGCGTTAGTTTTTCTTTTCACCGACACACATACGAAATCATGACGTTCCAGACATCTAGGAGGATCTCCAGGTGTTAATAATAACATATCCTTATTTAAATTATTGCGCGCGTGTGTGTGTTTGTTTCGCAGCTCGTTAATATTACAGTTGTATGTCTGCGTTAGCGTCCCGGACGTGTTCCTTTCACGTTTGACCAAATCCTTATTGGACCGTGCGCTCATTGATCTGTTACAGGAAGAATTCGCTCAACTGTTCAAGCAGTTAGAAGTGCTCAAGGACAAAAACTTGAAACTCGGGAACCGTCATCTCGTGGAAAAAATAGCGGCCATGCAGGAGGTGAGCAAACGCGGAGTGTGGTCGACAAACGTTGACAAGAAGCTGGTGATCATCGGCGGCGGTGATGGCGGTGGTGGTGGTGGTGGTGGAAGTTACCCGTTCGCCAACCACCACCATGGTTGTAGCCACCCAATGACTGACAGCCAAAAATCGTTGGTTGTCAATCAAAATGGCAAGAAACCGTTCATGAAAGAAGTGACGGTGTAAACATCGATATCATAGTCTTAAATATGCCACTTTTTGTACCTTTTTGGTACATATTTTACACACACAAACAAACATTCGCTCAATGGACGCACCAAATGTACTCAACGTTTAACGTCAATGCGTTTAAATCTGGTTTGAAACCGGATATATTATAAGTGTAAAATAATATTATATAAAGATGTCTACTCGTATTGTGCAATTATTATTTACTTGATATTAATTTTATTTCGTCAAATTATACTCCCGAAATAACGATGACACCTGCAGTATTGTTATTTATGTTATTGTTTACATTATAACATAATTATATTGTTCTTATGCATATTAGTACAACTAAGACTATTATTACTACTTTCACTTTTATTATTAACTATACAATTATTATTATTACCATTATTGTATTGATGTTATTTTTAAGACAGTATAAAACGGTCATGTGTTCCTTGAAAACGTCAAAAGGACGTTTCGCAGAATACGTAGCTTTTAATCCATTTCATGCACACCTCATCGTTAAGACATACAACATATTGATATCCATACATGAGGTAAACACGACAGATCTGGATAGACTATTTTTACCATTCATTCAAATTTGAAGGAAAACTTACATATAGTCCTTAGGACAATAAAGTAAAATTTTATTGGGCAAACCACCCCCATTAAAGCACTCAGGATTCTGCAAACCACGATAATGAGAACGGGAGTCCAGTGGCTTTCAAAACCCCCCGGGGAACGGAACAGAACGTATAGGGTAGTTCCAGCAACGGACCATCGTCAGATTAATCCATGGGAAGAGGTGCGCGTAATGCTAATATACTAATATGAGCAGTCCAGCTATCTGATTATTTTCGTTACGAGGACGATTCTAAGGTACGAGTATATAGATGTTTGAATAAGATTAAACACGTTTTTTCACGACCACGAGCTGTCGGTTTCGCCGATTAATATAACTTTACCGTTCATCGTGCCGAATGCACCAAATCAATCTTGGCAACGTGAACACATCTGCTTGAGTTTTTTGATCGCAGTGAGAATTAAAATTGAAAATTTTAATATACCTAAAAAATGTTCAAATTATGAACGTAAAACTTGACCGACATAATAAGATTGTAGTTTTGTAACCATGTGTATTTAATCATATGGAGTAGATTATTATTATTATTATTATTCAATGACACCGTCCTGCTATCGACAGCTCTCGACCTGTGCATTGTAAGCAGGGAGGACGACAAAATCTGTTTTGAGTCTTCAGGATTTTACTATGTTTTATTTACATAATCTGCGGCACTTTATAATGTGTACTAACAATATGCATTATTTATTATGCATACTAACAGTATGCATTATTTATTATTTTATTTCCGCTGCATTACTCGATTTTTAACCAGTCAAATATTCGTCATGGTTTTTGGTATCTAATAAATAAACGGATAATTTCGATTGGTGGATGATGGTGTCAAATAACGCAGTGGTTTGTATTGGATAATCGAAAACTTGGCTCAGTTGATGCCAAACAACTCTATTTATTGATCTTGTTATATGCATTAATTTCTCCATTTTTCAATTTTATCCAGAACATAGATATAAAAAAATCTGTTGTAAAAAATAAACATAAAATAAAATAAATAAAAAATGTTAAATCTTAAGACAATAGCTGTCTATTGATTATACTTATATATGTATACTCATATCAAATTATTAATTCAATTCATTATCTGGAAATTATATCCCCTGGCTATTTAAACTTTTAATTCTCCAAATAGAAACAATAAAAATGCATTGTTTGTTACGTAGATACAGACTCAAACTAATTAAAAAAACTATATTTTCGCAAATCTTCGAGAATAATACTGAATTCTTAAATGATTATTTTCATTAGAACAAATATACATATTATATACTAAAAAAATGCATAGTACAATTCTACAATAATAAATTGAGTACGAAAATATGCATTTGTTAAATTGCGTGAAATGACATTTCATATTTCTCAAAATAATTAAAATCTGATGAGAATTTAGTTAGATTTTACTGTCCAGATACTTAAATAATTTCTGTCAGTCAAAGAACATCTATTTTTCATCGTAGTTATACGAGTACAATAATTACAACCACGTACTTACTCTACAATATTATTTATATATACCACTATTACTATAAATTCAGCAACATACGTTCACATGATTTCGATTTCCCGCATTATCTTCGAAACTAAACGCATCCATTTTATACGCACTCCAGATGCTGTGGTGACTGGACTTTTAAAAATAAATGTTTTGTATGAGATATATAATAATTCACTTGTCATCACGGTGTAATAAAAACGGATGAGACGGATAAAACCACTATGATGTTTATATGCAACCCAAGTCCGTTTGCCGACACTAGACCAACGTTGATAGAGGTTTTATCTGCCGATATAAATCTGTGACCGTATTTTTTTTTCATGCAAAAGTTCCTCCCCCCTCGAAGATGTGATTTTCTTTGCTCTCCACATCAAAGTTCAGAACTATAGATGCTCTTATTAATGACATTCGTAATGAACAAACGTCGCATGTACATGCTTATATAAATCAGGGATCAGCAACCTTTTCGTAGAAAACAAATAATTTTTTCTATAAAGTTACAAAACCATCTTGACTAAAATTTATTTCAAGTCTCCGTTTGCTAGTCAATAATTTGAGAGAAGTAAACAGTTTTTATTTAGATGAATTATAAAGACCATATTCCGAAGAAAAGTTTTAATTAATATGTTAATATTAGTAATATTATTATTATTATGATGGAGAATCCATTGCTAGTATCGAAAAGGGCCGCTCGAGGCTCCGTTGTCCAAGACGTTTGACCCCTGCTGTACCGTACAGGTTCTTCCAGAAAAAAGGGAAAATTCGAAATAACTCTTACCGATGTGAAAATACATATTTGCATAACTTCATTACAAAATTCATGTCATTAGAAGTCTAAAGGTTAACAAAATTATGATTTAAAATTAAAGTTCGGAAGATTATATCGATTTGCGTACATTACGCGTACATTCCTGAAATCCAACGTTGATATTGTGCACGGGTGTTTTAACACCGCAAAAATGCAAACAGTGCGCAGGATCCGAAGCCATCGGACCGCCAATAGACGGAAAAGATAATTGACGTCATTTTCGGACGAGGCACGTGTTCATCGCGGGAATGCATACGAATACTTTAAGACGCGATGTTTTTAACCTTTATTCCAGTGCGCGTACATAGTGGATTTTTTTTTCGCGAAACCTATTTCGAACCGTCCCGTTTTCCTGGAACACTCTGCAAATCACAATTGCCGGGGTCACCACATCCTTGCGTCGAAGATTGGTATTGGCGTGCGCAAATCCTCGAGCTTTCGACCGGTCTACGAGCACTACGACGGGTCCGTCCTCGGCGAGATAACGCTACAGTATTTAACATACCGTGAGTCGTACCCGACGGTCAATAATCGTTATGTTGTAACAGATATTACGATTACTCGACCTTGTTGTTTTAGTATAAGTTTATTTATTTATTATTATTATTATTTTTTTTTTTTTAAAGCATTATTCGATCGCGTATCAAGCACGATTTTATCGTTTCCCATTTCGATATTCGATATTTTACTATGTTATATATTATGTATTATAATCGATCTGTATTTTGGTCTGTGATAAATTTAATCGTGTAGTTTATTATTATTACGTTATTTTGCAACGTGTTTACAGACGAAAACTCAAATATTGCAAATGTATCATTAGTTAATAATTGTATGGTTTTTTTTTTTTTTTTAACTAGGATATATTACTTTACGACTTAAGTATATATTGCTTCATACACTCGTGCGATAGCTCAATTATGCATATTCATATCTAAGAATTATAAACATGTGTTGGTTAATGTTTCTTCCGATCATACCCTATTCGCAAATAATATTTAAGTAGATACTCACAACTTCAAATATAATATATCATTGGCAAACTGAAACTTTTTAAGAAAAAAAAAACACTTGTGAAATTTAGAACAAATTCTGAACAAATCTTATTTTTAGAATTGAGTTTTGTTATACTTTTATAATATAATAATGTTAACTGTAGAAAAATATCATAGCAAATATTCATCAACAATTATGTAAAAATAATCGATTAATATTAAATTTAAACTCCACTTCCTCGTAATATTATCATTTAAAACAACATATATTGAGGTCTAAATATTTGAGCACATCAAATCTATACGTGATTTACTTTTACTATATAACTGTACAATATTTTCGGTTATCAGTTAAAATTAAGTTGTTAAATTATTGCTATTAAATTATCCGATACAAATAATAATATATCCGTTTGCTCACTGTATACATGTATTGCACGAAGCAATGGATTTTAATCACACTCCCCACTGCATTCTATGAAAGATAAATATTACACACATTATATCATCTATGAGTATCTAACGGTTCACGGGTACGAGTATAGCGAAATTTCATATTATAAAACTTTATTTTATTATAAATCGATCCATAAAATGTTTTGTCGCAATCCTGCGAGGAAAAAATTTAAACGAGTCTAATGTTATTGTATGGACATGTCACATAATTTGAAAATTTCAAAAAAATAAAAATGAAATGTAACACGTTGATGTAATTTTTTTTATTTTATTTTATGTTAAAAAATATTTAGTTTCTGTGAATACAAATGTGTACAGATATAAGATTCGACTGTGTATTTTTTTTTTTTTTTGAATATTTAAAATTAAAATTATATACCACATTAGATAAGGTTATGATACAAAATTCATCATGTGTAAAAATCTACGGAATTGAAAAAATATAAGTGTATAATGTTAAAGAAATATGTATTTAGACTGTAAATAAAAATGTTTTAACATTGATTGATGATTAATTTACCTACATTTACTAATATATGGTTTCATCCAAATTTAAAATAACTTATTTGTCGTATAAAGTTAAGATATATGTATATATTGATATTTTATAAACAACAGTTAGTAAATTTCACTCGTAAGTTGGTATAGTCTTATTGAAAAAATGTTTTAAAACCATAACTTTATACGAGTATGTTAGAAATTATTTCATTTTCAATTCTGAGCAATGCTTATGTTCTTATATCGTTTTCTGTAGATCGATTTTTTTTTAAAAAAAAAAAAACCTTCATCAAAAGTATTATACAATCAAAAAGATAGTTTTTAAAAATTATGAAATTACTGTCTTGTAATTATATATATAATTGAAATGATGAA